TAAGTTTTGTTGTTCATTGCTTTTTTTTGTCAGAATTCATATTCTTGTGTAAACGTTATACTTATACTACCAACAGATACATTTTCTTGTACATTAGTTAATGTATATGTATACTTAAAAATGTTTTAAATCATTTTTAAGTAAATTTTGAAGTAGAATTTTAAGTAATATTTTAAAATTTTCAAGTAAAATGTTTGAGTTTTAAACTAAAATTTTTAAGTAAGATTTTGTACTAAAAGCAGATCATTGGTTTTTATTCAATAGAATTAAAATTAGATGAATTTTTCTGGCATTATCAAATAACAATTTTATTTTACATCCTTTTGATGTTAATTTTAGATTCGTTCAATTTCGAATTTAAGTAAATTGTAGTTTTGCAAATTTTTCATTTAAAACTAAATTGCAACGAACAATCAATTTTCTACCAATTTGTAAATAGAATTCTTGTGAAAGCATATATGAAATTTACTGTATGAATTATATTATTTTAATAATTTTATATTTTGTTCATATTTTGTTATTTATGACAACTGAAATTTTAGAAAAGAACATAAATGATTAAATCTGAAATATCTTTCTAAAAGAGACCCAAAAACACCATCAAAATGTTAAATAAATATTTAGTTCAAAATTTCGCTATTTCTTTTCCGATTTACTGTTTTCATAGTTAAATATTAGATTCTCATTTCTGAAGTACTGCATGCATAACATTTGTATATAAATTTTATAATTTATATTTGCAGAAATCTCTAAGCTGCAGAGCTCTGAACTCATACATTTCTTAAATTATTTTATTTATTTTTTCTTATTTTATTTATTTTCTTAAAATGTTTAGGCGGTTCGTTATAATCGTTTAAAAGTAGTTTATAAAAATTATTGTTAAAAAACTACAGCATTTTTTATGTAAATCTTTATTGGATTATGAACTGTTGGTACACTTTGGAAATTCGTCTTTACCGAAGTATGATAAAGGAATTTATTCGTTGGGATTTTTGGTAAGATGCCTCTTTTGGTCTTCAGTATTCGCGTGGTTCCAATAGATGGCGATAAAGTGTACAAGATATTGTAGATTCCTACATTAACACGATCTCGTAAACTGAAATATCAACAAATTATAAAATATTAATCTTTAAAGTATCAATTTTTATAAAATATAAGTTGTTATTAACACTCGAATGTATGTTCTGCGAGATACATGCAATAACTCGAAACTGGATTAACATAAAATGTAATAGTAGTGCAAGCATCGCTAAAACGAGTTCTTTAATTTACACGCAATGTATGGGTTTCGAACATATTAAAAATTTGAATGACTGTGTCTACAAAATCAAAAGTAACTCATAGTTATTGTATTCATAGTCTTTATAAAATAATATGAACATTGCTTTTAATATAAAAGGTAAATTGTAAGCATATTCGTGCTCTCGTATTTTGTTATAAAATAACAAATGCGACGATGTATTGTTCAAACTGAGCAAAATTGAAGTTAAAAATATTTTATTCATTATTTCAAAATATGTTCATTTATTAAAATATTGGTTAAAGTACTTACAGATTTTACTAACAATAAGTTACTGAATACATAGGTACATGAATATTTTTATTTCTAAATATGAAATATAAGTTTATGATCATTTATTCAAATAAAGAAAAAACTGTAACTAACAATAAAATAACAAGGAAGTACCACTTTTAATTTATATAATTTCAAGAAATTACAATGATCAGTATATGTAGATGGTAATATCACCAAAATATAATTTTCATCATTCTTTTTTGTAAATATTTATGCTCCGCTAGAAATTCATTTACTCAAAGTCTAACTAATTAACATTCAATGGTTAACATATTGTGTAAAAATTCTTAAGCGTTAATTAAGCCTACATATGTTCGATAAACTAAGTACCTTTAATTATAGATAAGCTAAATAATTTTAATTTTAGAATTGTCTAAAATCATTCCAAACTCCAAAAATGAGTACTTTTGATTGATCATATTTTTATAGAAATTGTACAATATAAATTATATAGTACAAATTTTATATAAATTATGTAAAGTAAATTTAATATAAGTTATACAATATTAATTTAATACAAATTATATAGTACAAAAATATAAATTTATATTATATAATTATCTAAAATATCAGTTTTTATATACACATATATAAATTCAGTAACATAAATAATATAAATTCATCAAAATAATGTTTGAATTAACTCCTTAATGTACAACATTAAGTCACCTTCATAACGCACATTACACTTCAAACATAACAAACTTAACCTCTTGCCGTACAATTTATTTGTCAAATGCGTCAGTCAAAACTAACTATTCATAGCTATAATGTTTAAACAAACAATAAAAATTAAAATGTTGTGAGTATTTTATATTCAGCGATCCTTGATAATGTAAATTATAGTTGGACTTAAATTTTAAGTTGAAGAGTACTAAAAATTTGAATAAGATTTGTTATGTTTGAGCTGTGAGTGCGTCACGAGACTCGTCAAAGTACGACAAGGGGTTAAATCGTGTTTGTACAACGATCGAGTTTCAAGTTCTGTTAGGAATATAAATAACGAAAACAAATAACGAACTTAAGGAATTAATTAATTAATATTTATTGACAAAAACAAATTAGATAATTTACAATACAATACAAAACAAATGGCAAATCAGTGACGAATACAATATTTAAGGCAACTCAAAGGCGTATCTTTATTTATTAATAATAATTTACACGAAGCAACGATTTGTATCGAGGAGCGAACGAATGAATTATCGAGGAGCGCACGAAAAGGACTGAGCGAAAGGACGGTCGTCGAAAGAAGAATGCTCGCAATAGATAAGCCGTAGCGGCCCGAGCCCCGCGCTATCACGTGGCCCTTCCCCCACTCCTGCCTATACAATTGCGAATTCCTGGCGGCTTTGCTCTTAAGACCAGCCTGAACGTCTCGGAAAAAATTACCCATGTAATTTTTCCGTCCGCGGACCCTCGCCAGATGCAAAGCATCGTCCAAATCGGGGTCGATGGAGGCCTCAGGGGTCCGTCGAAAAACGTCCCCCCTAGCCACGGCCTGAACGGCCCCAGGTTCGCAAAAGCGTCCCTGTGCACGCAAAGAGATCACCGTCCAGGTAGCCAATTAAACGCGAATTTACCAATATTCTGCCTTTTTCTCAAGTTTTTCACTCGCTCCTTTACATGGCTTTTGAACTCAATAATAATGCAAAAATGTGCATAAATGCATAATAAACTGAAATGGCTTTTCTTCTTATAACAAATAATTAAAACAACACAAACTATGAAAATAATGCCAACGATTAAACTGAATGTACGGTTTTTGCATTTCTACACTCAACAAGTTCAATACCAATTATAACTTGTTCAACTAAACATCACTAAATCCAGCAGATACTTCATTATTTATCTTAATATTGCGGTAATAATTAGTTAGCTCTGACTGTCGAAAAAAAACATAAGTTAATAATAAGGTCTGGGGATCGAATTTTACGATTTTGGGGACTTTTGGAATCTATAGCAGAATATTAATATGCTCCGGCAGTCCTTCCTAATCCTACGTTGTTTTGGTCAAGAGCGACAAGGAAAGTAGATGTCAGATTTCCAAAAACGTGAAAAATGCAATTTCGCTTTGCCAGAATTCTAAAGCCAGGAAGCAATATTTCGATATGATTTCTCTTGCAAAATATTCTTTATGCACTCATCGGTACTCGATTCTGGAAAAATGAGTGTGAAAAATTTTTCCTATAAAAACCTGCATGTTTCCTTCTCATGAAATTTTAAGGTTAAAAATCAGGTTCTGTGTCTAGATTACTGTACAAAGAATATTTTGCAAAAGAAATTCTAACATTGCTTCTTGACTTCAGGATCCTAGTAAAAAGAAATCACACTTTGCACATTTTTGGAAATCAATTATCCTTGTATCTACTAATCAAAACAAGGATCGCCGAAGCATATCAATTTTCCGCCAGAGGCCTCAAAAATCCCCAAAAATGATACTCGAAATATTCAGTAACCTTGACCCTTAAGAGGTTAAAGTCCATCAGTGCACTCTACACAACATGCCACCAATTTTCGTATTACCTGTATAGCTTCGTAAAAACCACGATTGAAGTTACACAAATAATCAGTATCGTACCTTAGCTCAGACGGCTTCAGTTTGACAAATTATGATAGCTTGAAGATAACAGGTAAGATAAACGCCTCGGTTGTAGTAAAGGTGGTCTCGCATCAGATTGTTGTCAGTATGTCGAGCCTGGTTCTTCCGAATGATTCAAAACTGTTCTTTGCCGGAACACGTATCTATACATCATCTTTAGTCGTTCAAGATATATCTTATTTGTATTGGTCCTGTTTTCCACCTGTTCTGACAGTTTTAAATACACCAGTAACGAAGTATCAGCATCCTCTTTCTGATACGCGCGTTACAAACAGATTTATCAAACTAAATTCATACCGGATAGATGTGTACATTTATGCAATATTTACGCAAATCAATTTGCAAAATATTCATGCGAGGTTATTTTATATTTTTTATATTTTGGCAAGCTAGTCTATTTTTCTGAAGTTCTGTTTTTACATTAGGATATACTATCCTATTATTTAATATTATACTTTCAAATATAATTTGAAATATTTTACGTAATTAATTCTTATTTAAAATTGATGAACATTTATTTATCACAAATCAAAGTAATTGAAGACTAACAAGACTGCGAAATTATTTTGAACCACAATGAAAATGCAGTGTGTATAGTTTAAAAAATGAATTGTTTATTAAACGATACATTTAATTTATAGAAACATTTACACGACGTTTTTGCAGTCATTTTTGAGCTTCAAATATAGTATGTGCCAATTTTAAAAAGTGCCATTTTGCAATATTTTTATGTCATCAAATAATGGAATTCGTTACTCAATGCGCAACAAGTTAATAATTTGAGAAACGTTAGAATATAAAATGTTGTGGTGCAGAATGGTTGTAAATATGTTAACAAATTTTCTTATTCATTAATCACGTTTAATAGCAATCGAAGAAACGATAGCCGCGGTGTTAATATTTTTTAAACGGAACATTCATGAAACGAATTGTGAATGCGATTAGTGAATACTTGTTTGTGTGTCACATCGTACAATTAATGTTTCTCTCTTTTCTCAAGATGTAGCTAAAGATTAGAATCAACTGAAAAATGATAGTTATGACGGACCACCTTTGACGGCTTATGAAGAATTTTTCTAAGATTACCATAAACACTTTTACCATCCTTTATCATGAACAAAGTAGGTAGAATACTTTTGCGTCCCTTCTTTAGGAGAAATATTACGGCAGTGACTAATGATAGTTTGGAAGAAAGACTACGGGAAAGCACAAGAGAGAAAGTCAGGAGTGTATCGTGTTATTCTGACTGGGTACCCGTTTAATATTTTGCAAATATCGTTAATGTCATAATAATCAACTTCACCTTTACCACATCAAATATTTTATCAGATAGTACATTGCACAAAAAACCCTTTCGTTTTTATTCATTTAAGCTTTCGGCTGAAATTATCGCCAACATTCTTTAAAGAGTAATTTGTATACAACAAATTATATAAAGAAAATTTGGCAAAATAACCAATTACTCAAAAGCTAGAAATCAACTAGTATCAACTAGTCAAACTTACTGATTTCAAATTTCACATTTTGTTATGCTTTTGTCGAAATGTCATTTTTTTAAATATTTTTCTTTCAAACATTTAATTTATATTTATAGAACATAGTTTGCAAATTGCGATATATTAAAACATGATAAAATGAGGTTTTTAAAAACAGTTTTAAACTATCGAGTCAGGCTCGATCTTGTAATGTATAGGGTGTTTTAAGAAGCTTCGAAATTGTTAACAATATCGAAAAATATTTTAAGTGAAAATTGACCTTTTCATTTTTACACATTAATCGTCGTTAATCCTAATTTTTAATCGTGATTCTAATGGTAAACACACAAGTAGAGTACATACGCGTTCAAATTTTTTAAAATCCAAATAAACCTTTCTTAACAAATTTATTTTCGTCTTTACAGAAGCTTATGTTCCATAGCATGATTTATGCTTTTCAACACATATACATTGAAGACAAAGTGGGTAGACACCTGTCTGTCTGTCTAACAACACATGTGTTTTCATCTCATTATTAATCCACGATCATTTGCGCTATTCTTCGTAACGTCAGCACTTGCAGACTGCTACGATCTTCCCAGATGACCAGTCTAAATTACTTCACATCTGATAATTATACATATATATATGTGTAAGTATATATGTCATTATTTACAATTATGTAAGGAACTAATGTGCAGAAGTTGATTCGCAAAATACAAATCTTAAGAATAAAAGAATTGAATACTTTTGTCTTGTAGAATATCTTGGCTGAAGTTTTCTTGAAATAGGTCTTTATAAATTTTAAGAATTTGAATTATTCGGATTTTAGTGTATTCAATAGCTCATATCGGCTGTATCATTATAGTAATTAATTCAAAATTATGCCAAGAGAAAAGTTTTTTATGCTATATGAAAAATAACATCTTATGCTGCTAATTCTTTGCACCTCATTAATACAACTACGTTTCATAGTATTTATAATCTACTTTACCTATACTCGTAATGGAGTATGCTCATAATAAATAACTATATTCTGTAATACAAGTTGGTTACACTGTGGGGATTAAAATGATACTTAGACATTGTATTTTTGAATCGAGTCGATTGATACTGGTTTATCGAAATCTTCAAAATTCCCATACTTTGAAAATTGGAAGCTTGAGAATTAAGAAATTTTTAAATTCCGCAATTCTAATTGGGAAATTTGGTAGGTAATAATAAGAAAATAAATACTTTCTGAGTAATAACACTACTCCAATAAAACCCTAATTCATATTTATAGATACTTTATACTTATAGAAATAAATCCCATGAGAAATGATAATAAAAGAAGGATCTCAGAGTCAGGACGAAGTCATTCGACGAAGACAATTAGAACCAAAATGATGAAACGAAATTCCGGAAAAGAGTAACTGATCGACTGAAATATTACCCGTTTAATTGATACAATTAATTTGTGAATTAATTACAATTAATTTTGAATGAAAGGCATGTCCATGTGGGTATAATAAAATCTTCATTTCTTAGCCCCCACTTTAAACACTATTCAACACTATTCAACACCAAATATAAACAGTTTGTCTACCGGTACCAATATTTTCAAAATTGAAATTCATTCCCCTAAATATTTGGCAGTAACAAAAAATGGACTTGTTCCACTTTCAGAATAAACGTTCTGCAGCTGCTGTTGAGTCTCGTAAAAAAAATACTTCGAGTGCAAAGAGTTAACAGCTTGAAAGATGTTCGCCATATACAGTTGAAAAGCTGCCACTTTATATATGCTTACATACCATCCATAGTTACAATGTGTCACATTATTCCGAGAGATCGGCACGATGTCCATCCGTGGGCTACACGCAATGAAATGATGGTCCTTTCTTATCGTAGAATAGATAGGAGGCGTAACAAGGAGGTTCCGAACAGGCAGTTGACAAATGAAGAAGACGGCGTCCCTTTGAATTTCACCGGCTACAGGGAACTGTAAACGCATCCGGCACAAATCAACCGAGTATCATGGCAACGGTGAATACATTGCCAAGCTTTCGGGTTTATGGTGTCGATTAAAAAAATGTTAACGAGCCGGATATGGTTGACGGCAGGAAGGTTAAGAATCACGAATCTACCCAGAAGAGTTCGATAGGTCGGCAGTTTGTAGGAATCAAATGGACGGACGATTGACGGAAAAAGACACCGACATAACTGATAATATCTCCTTTATAACGCTTGCATTATGCTACACCAATGTAACGCCATTTATTATAATGCCATCTTCCTTCTCGTCACCATAATTACACCGTAATCAAGATTCTCTTAATGAGCCAGAATTTGTCGCGTACTCGATCATTGCGCTTTTTGTGTCTTTAATGAAATGTTAACAGTTTATTTATAATGTATCCTTAATCAGATAGGTAGTTGATGAAGTATATAAGGATTTTGTTCATTCAAGTATTTTTAGTAGTTTAATGATGAGAAGAGGTTCTTAAAGCGAATTATGGTATACTGGTGAGTGTCTACTGATTATACTTGAAACGAGTGTTAAAATATAGAAAATTTTTGAGGTGTGAAATTGTATTTTTTATTCAACCTCTCCTTCCTTCCTTTTATAATTACAAAGAAATATTTCAACATCGTTTAATATTATTAGATTCATGAAAATTTGTTTGTTATAAATCTGAAATGATTTAATTTAAAGGTTTTAGAAAGTTAGACCTTTAGGATCAGAGATCAGTAATTAAAATAAGATTTGATAACTTGAAATCTCAATCTCCTCATGAATCTCAATCTGAATCTTGTCACACAACGAATACACATGTGCCCTCTTCGGTGGGCACTTTATCTCCTCGTCACTATCATATCATATACTAACTTAACTTTTTAAATTTATTTCCACCAACTCATCATTGAGACACGATTGTAAACTATCAAATATAGCACACTAAATACTATAGCACAATATTTCTCCTGCAAACTTTTTGGAATCTACTTCAAAAGTTCCCACCGAAAATAGAGAAAATTGTCAATGCTCAGTTTCCCCCAGAGATCTAGTCAATCTTGTCTAATTCCTTTATCAGACGCATAACAGAAGCCAAGAAAATAGGTACGAAATTGAACGGGGCAGGCTTCGATGAATCAAACGATTTCCGTTGTGCCTCCGTACGAAATGCCTCTGGAAATATTTTGACGTCGAGCAAGATCCCCGTGTGATCGATGCTCGTTCCCTAGAGATTACATCGTGAATTGCAGTTTCTTCTCTCGTCGGACGTATACTGCATAGACTATAGTTCTACGTTTTGATTCTCACAGAAGCGTGGTTCGTCATGAATCAAAGCGCCGCCAACATCTGTTGATTTCTGCTGTTTCTCGGATATTCCGCGAATATTCGCGATCGCCGCCGCCGATAAACACGCGACCAGTTTCGTTGCTGTTTTCTGCATTTCGTGTTGAAATTATACAAAATTCCCCTCACGTTCATCACTTTTACTATTCACTACTTTTTATACTGTTGACACGGTTTTTTTAACTAGTTTTAACACTGTTTTTTTTTTTTTTTAACACTGTTTTAACACTTTTCTTATTAAGCAGCTTTGGCACAGTCAACACTTTTTCTTTTAACTAGTCTTAACATCGTTAATACTTTTTCTTTTAACCAGTTTTATCACTGTTAACGCTTTTACTATTACTAGTTTTGACACTGCTAATACATTTATTTTTTAACCGACTTCGAAAAAGGAGGAGGTTACTCAATTCGATCAGTATATTTTTTTTTATTTTTTTTACTTTTTTTTTTTTATTAAATAGTTTTGGCATTGGATTTTACGGACGTTCGATAGCCACTTTCAAAGTTGAGATATCTGTATAGGGTTTGTAGGAATCTTAAAAAAATTCATTAAAAGATATTAAAAGTTAAGATAATGAAGAATGCAGTTTTTCAGTTTTTCGCCGAAATGGTTCAAAAAAGTCAGTTTTTAATTTTTTCTAAAGCGCACCAAAAAATATTAAAAAACTAGGCAATTATATTATTATTGTAAAAAGAAGAAAGTCATTCTTAAATTTCGATACGAAATCAGTCATTTCTGATTTCTCAGTCATTTCCCAGTATTTTCTATTTTTTGCACCTAGGATTTCCAACGAAAAAATCTTAAAGACTTTTCTGATATGCCTTGTTATATCTACAGTGTCCTTAAATTTTTTTCAGAATTTTTGTACCTAATTTTTTTACAAAATTTCCCTATTTTCATAATTAGAGAAAATAGGGTGAAACTCGATAATTCGGATTTCGCTTGTAATTACCCTCCTAGTTAAAATTAGGGTAGAAACTACAAGGTGTCTGCACCTAAGTGTGACAGCGCGATATTTCATCTATTGATGACACAAAAAAATGTTTATATGGAAATTGCAGAATAAAAGCGGCTCTATATTTTGGCGTAAACTAAATTTTTTTAATGTTATTAATGTAAAAAATGTAGGTATACGATGTTGATTTTTGATAAGTCATCGATCGATATATTACAAGGTGAAATTAATTCAAGGGCACTTTTGATCACTATATCTGCCACACCCTTTGAAATACATCTGAAATTGGGCCAAAGTTTTTATTCGCGTATCAATTTGTTCAGACCATATTCCTTACCATAGGGTTGTGACCAATATATTGCTTAATAACAACATGAAAACAGAATATTGTGGAATGAATAATAATTACGGCGTGACACGTGTTTCATTTCGATATTGATTGACGTAATTTTGCCGGCAATTTACATAAGCTGTCACTTTTGACTAATAGATACATTTTGAATTTTTATAAATGTAGTTTCTTAACCCGTTAACGTTCAAACGGATAATTTTTTGAAGACTTCCGCTCAAAGAGTTTGAGATGTTTTATCCCCTCAAAGAGTGCAACACACAATTTTTTTTACTTGAAATTTTTTTTTTTATCTTAAAATTACAGTTCACTTTTTTTTGAAAAATTAATTCCAAGATTTTTATAAATAATGTTCACAAGAAAAGCGTAAATTTACTCTGACAAATTTTTTTCAATGTTGAACCTGGAGAAGAGAATTTATCCATCGATCCTAAACTTTAAAATGTACGTGTGAGCTTTCCGAAATTCAAGATGGCGGCTAAAAGCTGAAGATTTTATGCTATTTTTGATCATTTTTATAGAAACAGTATTTTTGAATGAATTTTTCAACAAGTTTGTATTTAGGACTTTTCCATAATCATAAAATATGGTTAACCATATTAGATCCGGCATCTTGAATTCGGAAAATTCGTGCATTCAAATTTCACAATAAGGTATTTACCGGACACCCGAATTCCTAAACTTACTAATTTACAAATTTCTGAGTTCGCAAGTTATCAAGTCATTAAGTTCTCAAATTTGTAAACTTGCAAATTCTCAAATACCAAAATTCTCGAATCTACAAATTCCTAACTTCCAAATTCCAAAATTCCAAATTTGCGGATTCTCAAATATCTAAATTTTAAAATTTTTAAATTTTAAAATTCGGAAATTTCCAAATTTCCAAATTTGTAATTTTCAAAGTAAACAATCCCCTATTTACCAAACATGTAAATCTCTAAATTGACCAATTTCGAAATTTCTAAGTTTCCAAGTTACTAAATCCCCAAATTCTAAAACTCCAGGTCCAAAATATCTGACTTTCCAAATTCACAAACCCAAAAATTCCAGTACAATATTGCCACTATTAAATCACTACTAATAAATACTGATATTCCCGCTATATCGACATCTATTGAATGAATGCTTGAACATGTAATTTGTAACTCCAAATCAATTTCCATAATTTACTGATTTATTTCATCGTTTTATTTTTAATCGGAAATAAAGTGTTCATTAAACGCCAGTTATGCCAGTATGTTAATGTAATTGCACTAGTGGGTCGACAAACCAGGTGCCTCACGTGAATTTGAATGTGCTTTTAAAATTTAAAGTACCTGCTGTAAACATGTAGGTACAACAAGAATGAGATGTAGAGATTTAAAAATCGCCACAAACGATTACACGTATCTAAAACCATTGAAAACGATACGAAATGCAATTATTATTAATTTCACGACGGCTCATGTCAATGATGAGTAAGTATTGGCGTGAACGATGTGTTGTAGAGCTTCTAACGTCATTCAGTTGATTATGTGTCAAACATTATCGGAAACGGTACCAAAAGACGATTTTTTATCGATTCGAAATCAATACAGCAAATGAAGGGTGTCTTATGCTCAACATTTCAAGTTAAAAGACCCAAAATTGTTACCTATACCGTGGTGCAAACAAACAAACGAACAAATTCAGAGCGAGTTATCTCAAGAACATCACTATGTCCCACATGAACTTTCGTCTACTTATTATTTAAGTGAACGGTAATTTGTACATAATGCTACTACGTGAACCGGCATTCGGAAATAATTGGATGTGAATATTAAAAATACTATCGGTTTCGTCAAAATGAGGTATTTAACACTATTTCGTGTATACGACAATAGTGTATACCTTTTTCGACAAAAAAGTATCTTTTGACACCTTTTTGTTTGGATGCAAATAATTGTCAAAACTGTTCGGTATTCCAAATTGTCAGTTAAATGTAGATAATTTGAGAAATATATTTATTGGTACCTTGATGTGTTTTTATAAGAGATTATTTAATCAGGTTGTAAATTCAAGCTTAATTCATCCATCTACAAAATATAAATATAGCAATGTACACTAAAATGCAACATGGCGGGAAATAAGCGAATATCAAAGTTATGCTGCAAGTCCTATATTTTGCATTACAATTGAAATCGGAGTACTCTAATCTGATTATAATTGATATGATGCTATAAAATGATGTTGGTTTTTATATGCGAAATTTTTTAAACTTAGACATTGTCACGAAATCTGCAAATTGTGAAAAGACATCTCATGGTAGAAATAAGTATACCATATCATAAGTATACCATAAGAATATTTTAGATCTAGGATAAGCTTGAAGAAAATGATATCGCCGAATTAATTTAACTATTTTATGAGAAGTCAAAAAATTAATTGCGGAGAAATGATTCAATTTAGAGAATAATTTTAATTTAAAATTTGAAACGTGTCTTCACCTCTTGGTAGAAACAGTATTAAACACTTATTTCCTTATGTTAATGTATTATAATTGCATAAACTTTCGTCTATTAAAATCTATGTGATCGATAATACCTACATAATGCAATTATATGAACTTTCAATATTCGAAAACATTTGTATATGAATATTAAACATACTGTTGCCACAATCGTTTTCGTCAAAATTAGGTATTTAAATTGGCCATGTACAACGGGTTGTTACTAGAAAGGCAACCATGCGTTGCACGGATCGAGTCAGTTCAATTAATTAACACTTTCAAAAGTATATTCTTTTTTCTTCTGGGGAAGAGTGATTAGTTCGGCTAGTCTGACAGTCCAGAAGTTTATTTGCACTAATGGCGGCCATAACGGAGCCAAGGCGTCCATCGTGAAATCGTTGGACGCGAGACCGGTTTTCTTCCGCTCGTAATTACAAGCTTCGAACCAATC